ACCTGAGTCCCCTACAGCTCAACATAACAGCATGGCTTTACTTCTTATACTTCGTTTTTATACTTTTCTGCTGGATGGCTAAGACCAAAGTAAAGCAGGACCTATGCAACAAGAGTTGTAGCTTTTGGGTCTGATAAGGTCAGGAGGGTTTGTTTCTGCATATAACTTCTCTCTTTTTTTTTTTTAATGTATGTGGTACAGGGTCTTATTATGCAGCTTGAACTCACAGGATCCTCCTGTTTTCAGCCTCCCCAGTGCTGGGATTACAGGCATACACCACCATGCCCGGTGGCCAGCTCAGCGCACCTGGGCGCAGGACCAATGCCACATGTGGTGCCAGGGATCGAACCCTGGTCCCTGCGCTTGCCTAGGTAGGCGTGTAGTCCATTAAGCTATCTTGCCAAGCCTGGCAAGATAGATAATTTCTCATATGAAACTGTCAGACACGTGTACTCTATGCTAGCCTTTTTACGTTACATACACTTCTGTGTATACTGTATGAATAATTTCTAATTTCTGTGACTTCTGTAAACACTGGTTATTTTCATTTTGGGGGTATTTTTATTCTTAGTCTTTGCCAGTTTGAACATGACAAAGCCTCCTTCATCCAAGCCTGTCTCTGATCAGCCCTGAAGTAACTGCATTTACTCTGCCCATTTCTAATTCTCCTGTGGGTAGTTTAGTCACTTTTCAGGGGTCTACTATTCTAACCATATATTAATTTTTTTCCAAGAACTCATATTATCTTTTCACACATATGTCACAAATATTTTCTCTGTCACTTGTCTTATCTTTGTTTATAGTGGCTTCTCTAGGGCAGTGGTGGCGAACCTATGGCATTCATGCTGTAGTGGGCCATTTGTTAGCACTGAAAGCTCCACAAGATTCGCCATTATTCCTCTAGGACAGACACAGAGGGGAAAAGAAATGTACAGAATGCTAGAGTTCACATGTGTTCCAATAGTTTTTCCTTAGAAAACTCCATCCTACCAGAAGATCAGAGAAAAATTCTATTCTCTGCCACCCAAATTTAATAGCTTTAAAATTTAGTCTTTTAAGTCTTTATATAATCTGGAATTTGAGTTTTGGTTTAGGATTGATTGAGGGCTCTATACTCACCAATATGGGCAGTAAGGACATTCCATCCATCTGCGTCTTGTTTACATTATAGCCAGCGATGTCCAAAATAGTAGGACCCAAGTCAATGTTGGCAACAAGCATCTAAGAAAATAAGGAAAAAGCAAACCATTTAGAACACAGTAGTGCAGCTTTCCTTTCCTATCTAAAGTTCCCTTGCCCCAACGCACTTGAAATAAACAGCACTCACGATCGGCTTGTATACAGCCATTCTTTGATCTTACTTTCATATATTTAAATAAAACTTAAAAAAAAAAGGCTTAAGGGGCTTCATTAATAATACAAGCTCCTGTGATATTACACATTTATTCTGCTGAGACTGTCACTGATGAAAACACATCAGTACCTCAGTTCATAAACACTTATGTCTGCGAACAATCTGTTTCATAAAAAGCCTTTGGCAGCTTTTTGTTTTTGTCTGTGACCTCTGTGTTGGGGGAGGTGCAGACACCACCGAGGCCATCTTTTTTGCATAAACTCAAAAGTGGCCGTCTTTTCCAGAATTGTGGAATGAATTAAGTAAAATCATGAACTAAGGCATCAATGTATTTTTTAAAACTCCTCTGGGATGCCCTTGTTTTGAATCATGAGAAAAATGCTGGGTTAATGATTTTTATAGTGTCTCCCACTTTGATTAATTAGCTGTCTGACTTCCTATGGACTCTTAGCACTTTTAAAAGCTTCAAAGGTGGAAAACTTGCTGCCAATGAGAATAACCAGCTTATTTTACAGTCTTTCAAAGTGACAACACTGCTAAAAAAAATGTCTGTGGGGGCCTGGCCTTAGCTCAGTTGTTTAAGTGGCTGCTTCCACAAAGCTGTCAGCCTCAGGTTGCTGTAGTTCGATCCCCACAACACTTCAGCCAGCCAAACCACTCCTGAGGGCCTTCGGAGCAAAAAAACCCAAAACAAACGAACAAAAAACAAAACAAAAAACAACAAACAAACAAACAAACAAAAAAACCCTTATGGGGGCTGGAGAGATGGCTCAGTGGTCTAAAGCACCTACTTGGAACAAGCTTGGCAAAGCACAGGGACCGCGGTTCAATCCTCCAGCACCACATGCCAGCCAGCCCCGCCCCCTGGTGGGCTGAGCTGGCCACACACACACACACACACACACACACACAATAAATGTTAAAAAATTAAAAAAAAAATAAAATAAAAAATAAAAAAATAAAAAAATGTCTGTAATAGGGTTAAGGCTCCAGGAGACTTATTCTAATAATATGTCAATAAAAGTTTTCTTAAAAACTATATCTCAAATGATGATAAAATAACATAAAGTTGCCAAATCTAGTTATCATTACAAAAAGATTTTAAAATACTGTATGCATCATTTAATGTATAATTTAGACTTTCAGTTTTTGTAATTGTTTTAGTCATAAATTTGTGAACTTTTGCTTATTTTGATTAAATTTTAAAATGTGGAAAAAAAAAAAAGTTTTCTTAAAGAAGCCAGGCATGGTGGTACATGCCTGTAATCCCCACACTTGGGAGGCTGAAGCAGGAAGATCCCTCCAAGTTCAAGGCCAGCCTGGGCTACACAGTGAACTCAAGGCCAGCCTCAACTATGTAGTGAAATCCTATTTCAAAACCACAAAAAGTTTCCTTAAAAAGGAAAGAAACATTACAGAATTTAAAGGGAATGTTTTGCATTTATACCCTGTCTTATTTTCTTGGTTTACATGAAACTGTTTTGTGTACAATGTTTATGTAGGGCCTAAGCTAGCATAGAACTAAGTATTAATATGGCTACCTACATAATTTGAAAATATCTGACATCCACATCAAAATAAAAACAGGTGAAATTCACTATATATATGTTATTTACCTCAATAAATAGAAATATTACTATTTCAACAGGTAAGATACATAAAAATTAATTACATTTTAATTTGTTTTTGGTTTGCAGCAGATATTTAACTTTTTTCTTATTTATTCCTTGCCACAATCTTTGGATGGAACACTTGCTAGTTCATTTTACAGATGAGGAAATAAAAGAAGTGGAACAAAGTAAAGAACTTGTAAGTGGAAAACTTTTACTGAAAAAAAAAACAACAAAACAGTCTTCAAAACTGTTGTGAAAACTTAAGATGATCTTAGGAGGCATCAAACAGGGAAGTGAGGGGAAAAAAATCATCAATTAACTCTGCCACTTTTAATTTAAAAACAAACCCAACAGTATAGACATGAAAGGCAAAAAAAACATCTTTGGAGACTGTTCATCTAGGGTCAAGTTTCCTGATGGCCAGGACAGCTCCCAGAGGGCAGTGATAGATATATATCCTGGGTCTAAATCAATTAGTGACTTCAGCAGCTGTCAGAAATTGCCATTCAAGGGAGAAGCCAATCAAGGGAGAAGCAATCCATATGTCACTGAGAAGACGACTCACAATGCTACGTCTCCAGGGATTGCACGGATCTGTTACAGATAATTTTCCTAGTTCCAAGACCTCCAGGCAAACCAGACAGGCTGGAACACTGCTGTCCAGTCTGCATGTGGATATGGACAAAGTCAGGAAAGAAGACAAAGATACCATCCCCACAGTCTGTGATGTGAAGAGAAGGAAGGCACTATTCACGCGTCCAAGACAGATTTACAATGAAGGTAAGCACCAAAACAACAAAACCAGACATACACAACAGTGGTTGCTAATCACAACAATAATCACTTCACAGCCAGCAGCTAAAAGGTGGGAGACTTCACTAGTGTTCTGGTCAATGGAAAGAAAGGCCTGTGAATTGCAGCATAAAGCAGGAGTCACTAAGATCTGGCACAAACAGCACAGCCTGTCCTCCCAGGATTCTTTCTTCCCAGATATCTCCCCTTACTGCATCTTTCCTAAATGTGATGACAATTAAATTGTCTTCTAGGACTCTGCCTGGAAGCCCTCTCACAATGTGCATACTGTGTCAGGAGACGGAAAGCTTCTTATGGGCACAGCAGGAATAAAGAATTTGAGAGACAATTACGCCCACTTCTGGTTTTATACAACTAAGCAGAATCTATCAGAACAGATTCTATGGACAGCACGGAACATCAGAGTTCCAAGTTCCTAGAATGGTGCTACTCTTACTGCACTTAGGCTGAAGCAGAAAAAGCTTTCATAAGGCCAAAATAAATTATTGCATGCATCGCAGTCTCTTAGTTTGAGATCTTAAGGTTCAAGCACACAGACTTTCTAATGAAGTAAAAGGCCCTAGAAAACCCTGGACCATGAAAGCAAGCAAGTGTAGACCTTGCTTATTTTTAGCTCTGGAAAAATGACCATGCTGCGTAATTACTGAAAAGAAGAAGGCAACAGCCTCTCGGGAGAATACATCAGGTTTCCAAAAAGACACTTAAGCTCTGATGCTAAACAATTCATGTCAGGCTACTGGAGAAAAGACTCAAAGCACACCAGAAGGAGCTCTAGTCTCACTGGTGAAAGGGACCATATGTGCATGAAAAAGCAGTGGACCCGCCACCCCAATCCTGGGTGCTCCATCGGGATGTGCCGCAGCTCCAGTTTCCCTAATGAATCAGCAGCCTGGGAATCATCCAGTTCTACTCAGGAACAGAGACGTAACATATCAACTACACAAACAGGGAAAGCCAAGGCTCCTTTGTTCAAAGTCTTACAGCCAACCAGCAGTCTTCCTGGTGTTTAATTCAGTTCTTTTTCCCCATGCCCATCTCTGCCATTCTAGTTTTCCTATTAACCTTTTCCTCTCTAAAAATCCTTTTAAGAACTTCTGCTGCCGGCCGGGGAGATGGCTCAGTAGAATGAGTGCTTCCCTGGCAAGCGCAAGGGCCCGAGTT